ATAACAACACAACAAAAAAGCAACAACATAAAAGCATATTAACAACAGATTAAACTCAACCAAATTAAAACACAACATCTAACTACTAAAATGCAATTGCGGTTCGGTTTCTAAAACCGCAAATTTCGGTCGGTTTTTAGCTATTGCGGTTCCAATGCGGTATAATGTCGTTTGGTTTTTGTGGTTTTTCGGTCTAGAATGCCACCCCTATATAGGACGGTGACGATAGACCGTACATAGGGTAGTGCTTATAGCACTTCAAACTGACATACTAATCTCATTCTTTTCCACAATTTCACATCAACACCCCAAGTACCCCACACATAACCAACATAGATATAAATTCTCAAAATCCATATGTATAAACTCAAGATACTCAAATATGCCAAAACCCAAATATATAATGCAAACGCTTTATAAAAACATTAAGTTTAACAATTGAATATATAATATATTCAATGAACCATTAAAACAATATGCATAAATTTTTCCATCATAAAACCATGCTTATTATTTGAAAACAAAGTACACTCACAAGTAGTCTCACACAGCTTGGCCCTGAAAGGGTCCCGCTTGCTGTGTGCGAGTAGGTGGAGTACTTATTTCAGAATACGAGTATGAAATTAATATAAAACGCTTCGAACGAGAACTTTAAATTAAAATCCTAGTTTCCCTGGCTTCAAGTAAGTGTACGAGGAACGAGGCGTTCGTAAGTTTCCACTACGTGTTTCGGATGAAGGTATAGCCTCGAAAGACGCTCAGTTAACTGGGCAGTTAAACTTTCCAAATTGAGTCAACCGGGCCCACGAGACCCATGACCTCCGTTTTATGATCTGGAAGTTCCTATGAGTTCAACAAGGTTCAGAATACACGTTCGGCAAGTTTGGTCCCGATCGGACGGTCGGTTATCATTTAACGCAAACTTTAAGTTATTGAATTGGAACATCCGGGGCTCCGATTCACAATGCGCGAATTCCTACACGATTCTAGGGATGCCTAGATCAACATATATTGAAATGGAGTCGATCCAACAGTCCGAACATGTCGAACTCGGATAACTCCTAAGATGCGATATCTGATCGACAATCAAACAATAACCAAATTCAAATACGAGAATATCCTCATGCAAGAGACGACATGGGGATCATTTTAGGACTTAAGGACCAGCCAAAAAGTGGCCCATGTGCTGCCCCATGCGCCGTCAGTGCGTGGGTGTCCAAAGCAATTCCGGCGATCGAAAAAACTTCAAACCGCCGGTCAAGACTTATACCTACATGACCAGTACATAGGGTAGTGCTTATAGCACTTCAAACTAACATACTAATCTCATTCCTTTCCACAATCTCACATCAACACCCCAAGTACCCCACACATAACCAACATAGATATAAATTCTCAAAATCCATATGTATAAACTCAAGATACTCAAATATGCCAAAACTCAAATATATAATGCAAACGTTTTATAAAAACATTAAATTTAACAATTGAATATATAATATATTCAATGAACCATTAAAACAATATGCATAAATTTTTCCATCATAAAACCATGCTTATTATTTGAAAACAAAGTACACTCACAAGTAGTCTCACACAGCTTGGCCCTGAAAGGGTCCCGCTTGCTGTGTGCGAGTAGGTGGAGTACTTATTTCAGAATACGAGTATGAAATTAATATAAAACGCTTCGAACGAGAACTTTAAATTAAAATCCTAGTTTCCCTGGCTTCAAGTAAGTGTACTAGGAACGAGGCGTTCCTAAGGTTCCACTACGTGTTTCGGATGAAGGGATAGCCTCGGAAGACGCTCGGTCAACTGGGCGGTCAAACTTTCCAAATTGAGTCAACCGGGCCCACGAGACCCATGACCTCCGTTTTATGATCTGGAAGTTCCTATGAGTTCAACAAGGTTCAGAATACACGTTCGGCAAGTTTGGTCCCGATCGGACGGTCGGTTATCATTTAACGCAAACTTTAAGTTATTGAATTGGAACATCCGGGGCTCCAATTCACGATCCGCGAATCCTTACACATCCTAGGGATGCCTAGATCAACATATATTGAAATGGAGTCGATCCAACAGTCCAAACATGTCGAACTCGGATAACTCCTAAGATGCGATATCTGATCGACAATCAAACAATAACCAAATTCAAATCCGAGAATATCGTCATGCAAGAGACGACATGGGGATCATTTTAGGACTTAAGGACCAGCCAAAAAGTGGCCCATGTGCTGCCCCATGCGCCGTCAGTGCGTGGGTGTCCAAAGCAATTCCGGCGATCGAAAAAACTTCAAACCGCCGGTCAAGACTTATACCTACATGACCAGTACATAGGGTAGTGCTTATAGCACTTCAAACTAACATACTAATCTCATTCCTTTCCACAATCTCACATCAACACCCCAAGTACCCCACACATAACCAACATAGATATAAATTCTCAAAATCCATATGTATAAACTCAAGATACTCAAATATACCAAAACCCAAATATATAATGCAAACGCTTTATAAAAACATTAAGTTTAACAATTGAATATATAATATATTCAATGAACCATTAAAACAATATGCATAAATTTTTCCATCATAAAACCATGCTTATTATTTGAAAACAAAGTACACTCACAAGTAGTCTCACACAGCTTGGCCCTGAAAGGGTCCCGCTTGCTGTGTGCGAGTAGGTGGAGTACTTATTTCAGAATACGAGTATGAAATTAATATAAAACGCTTCGAACGAGAACTTTAAATTAAAATCCTAGTTTCCCTGGCTTCAAGTAAGTGTACGAGGAACGAGGCGTTCGTAAGTTTCCACTACGTGTTTCGGATGAAGGTATAGTCTCGAAAGACGCTCAGTCAACTGGGCAGTTAAACTTTCCAAATTGAGCCAACCGGGCCCACGAGACCCATGACCTCCGTTTTATGATCTGGAAGTTCCTATGAGTTCAACAAGGTTCAGAATACACGTTCGGCAAGTTTGGTCCCGATCGGACGGTCGGTTATCATTTAACGCAAACTTTAAGTTATTGAATTGGAACATCCGGGGCTCCAATTCACGATCCGCGAATCCTTACACATCCTAGGGATGCCTAGATCAACATATATTGAAATGGAGTCGATCCAACAGTCCAAACATGTCGAACTCGGATAACTCCTAAGATGCGATATCTGATCGACAATCAAACAATAACCAAATTCAAATCCGAGAATATCGTCATGCAAGAGACGACATGGGGATCATTTTAGGACTTAAAGACCAGCCAAAAAGTGGCCCACGTGCTGCCCCATGCGCCGTCAGTGTGTGGGTGTCCAAAGCAATTCCGGCGATCGAAAAAACTTCAAACCGCCGGTCAAGACTTATACCTACATGACCAGTACATAGGGTAGTGCTTATAGCACTTCAAACTAACATACTAATCTCATTCCTTTCCACAATCTCACATCAACACCCCAAGTACCCCACACATAACCAACATAGATATAAATTCTCAAAATCCATATGTATAAACTCAAGATACTCAAATATACCAAAACCCAAATATATAATGCAAACGCTTTATAAAAACATTAAGTTTAACAATTGAATATATAATATATTCAATGAACCATTAAAACAATATGAATAAATTTTTCCATCATAAAACCATGTTTATTATTTGAAAACAAAGTACACTCACAACTAGTCCCACACAGCTTGACCTTGAGATGGTCTCGCTTGCTGCGTGCGAGTAGCCGGAGTACCTATTTCAGAATACGAGTACGAAATTAATATAAAACGCTCCGAACGAGAACTTTAAATTAAAATCCTAGTTTCCCTGGCTTCAAGTAAGTGTACTAGGAACGAGGCGTTCCTAAGGTTCCACTACGTGTTTCGGATGAAGGGATAGCCTCGGAAGACGCTCGGTCAACTGGGCGGTCAAACTTTCCAAATTGAGTCAACCGGGCCCACGAGACCCATGACCTTTGTTTTACGATCTGGAAGTTCCTATGAGTTGAACAAGGTTCATAATACACGTCCTGCAAGTTTGGTCCCGATCGGATGGTCGGTTATCGTTTAACGCAAACTTTAAGTTATTGAATCGGAACATCCGGGGCTCCGATTCATGATCCGCGAATTCTTACACATTCTAGGGATGCCTAGATCAACATATATTGAAATGGAGTCGATCCAACGGTCTGAACATATTGAACACGGATAACTCCTAATATGCGATGTCCGATTGACAATCAAACGATAACCAAATTCAAATACGAGAATATCGTCATGCACGGGACAACATGGGGATCATTTTAGGACTTAAACGACTATCCATGTTACACATAAGTGTTTCTCGCTAGCTAGGCCATTAACTTGAATTCTTATTAATAAATAAGTTTCTAGCAAAAACGCTTAGTGGTTATAAGTAGATGAGTGAATCTATAAATAAAGGAACATTTCAAGCAATTTCTAGATAGTTATATATATAAATTTCTAGATAGTTAACCATTGGGCTCTTAATCTCAAGAAATTCCTAACAGACATGTTTGGAAGATACATTCTTTTCAACTGGTCCAACTTCAGACTTCATGTTCTTCTAAGATTCTCCTCCGTTGCCTGATAACATCAGCACGCTGCTTCTTTCGTTGCCTGCTTATTTGAATGAAGAAACATCTATGAATCAGATATCCAGGACAAAATATTATCTATTGCATTTACAAGATAAAAGAAGAGGTAGATTCTGGGGTTCTGAAGGAATTCTACTGCTCAACAACCTCAAAATTTTACTGCAATGCAAGTTCAAAACCAAATGAAGATGATAAATTATGACAAGCAAACCCTGGTTCAAGACAGGAATTCAATACACTATCAAATCTCAAAACAGGTTCACAATGGAATCAAGCCAAAAAAAATTTGACCAATCTGTTTTCAAACAGCTATTCTGACCTGTTTAATTAATAATGTCACACTTTAGAAACCAATAAAAGTTGCATGATATCTAGCATTAACAAATACTTACCCTCATGGCTTTAATACGCCCCTTGAATCGACGTGACCATTCAAGTTTAGACATAATTCTGTTATCCTCGTCAACTTGCACATAATCATGATGAGGTTCTTCCCTATCGATGCTCAGATTATCTATATTCGAGATAGATGATGGATGTGTGACACCCTGAATTTCCATAATTAATTCATGATGATACTGCTTCTCATGAGCCTTCATCTGCATGCATCATGCCAGAATTTAGTTAACTTCCTTGCATATGATCACATCATAAAATGGCAGAAAGATATCGTGCATCTCAACATTAAACAACATTACATCTTTAAAACCTGCCTACGTACCTTCTTCCGCTTTTCCTTTGCAGCTTCTGCTTCTGCTCGGTTAATAACACCTTCGGCCAGTAACTTCAGAGGATCTTCCAAGTCTTCTCTTTCCATTCCAAGCATTGTGTCACATCCCGGATCGACTCCGCCGTAGCACGATATTTTCCGCTTTGGGCCCCCCTTCTCTGGCCCTCACGGTTTTGTTTTTGGGAGCTCACGACTAACTTCCCAGTGGGTCACCCATCCTGGGATTGCTCTGGCCCCCAACTCGCTTAACTTCGGAGTTCCTACGACTCCGAAGCCAGTGAGCTCCCAAAAGGCCTCGTGCTAGATGGATGTGGGCATGTACATATAAGGCACATCAACCACCTCTCCGTTAGTCGATGTGGGATCTTACAATCCACCCCCCTTAGGGGTCCGATGTCCTCGTCGGCACACTCGCACCACACGGCAGAGTGGCTCTGATACCAAATTGTCACATCCCGGATCGACTTCGCCGTAGCACGATATTGTCCGCTTTGGGCCCCCCCTCTCTGGCCCTCACGGTTTTGTTTTTGGGAGCTCACGACTAACTTCCCAGTGGGTCACCCATCCTGGGATTGCTCTGGCCCCCAACTCGCTTAACTTCAGAGTTCCTACGACTCCGAAGCCAGTGAGCTCCCAAAAGGCCTCATGCTAGATGGATGCGGGCATGTACATATAAGGCACATCAACCCCCTCTCCGTTAGTCGATGTGGGATCTTACACATTGGCAGGACTTCATTTATGCCAGCAGCCCTCCCTCGTTCAGTGATCTCGAAATAGTCATTATCATCAAAAGGTGACAAGTGTGGAGGAAGATCCCTGTTAAAAGAGCACTAAATCAATGATCTTACAAGTCATGAAATTATATTAGCCAATAGAGAAATGAAAAACACAGCTAAGGAAAGCAGACCATAGCACGAGTATTATAACTAGCCATTTCATCATGGTGCAAGGCATAGAGATGAACACCACGCAAAATAAGAGAAATTGTCCTTCAATATTACCTTCCCACCAAATAATCCCCAGTTGGTAAAATGATCCGAGCATTTACACAATCATAGACCCACTGTGGCTGAACACATTGTCTACCACAGATCTTCCCATCATGCCTTGGCCTGTCAATAATCTGCAGAACATAGAAGCAGTGTAGCATTGAGAACTGTTATACTAAAGACTAGCTTTTGGTTTTTTTGTTTCCTTCTTTGGCAAGTGACACTACAGTTTTCATATATGTTGTCCGAGTGTGATGTCTTAACAAATCAATGACTCGACATAAAGATAATCTAACAGAATACCTGATGGGTGATGCTGGCATCATCTTCCTCAAAAGGAGCCCCATCTCCTTGCCAGGAAACAATTCCACCAAAAGCAGGTATGATAAAAAGCAAAGACTCTCTGTAAACCTGAACATAGAGAAAGTACATGCACAAGTTATTCTACTGCGGATCAACTAAAAGAAAGAAATAGCATTAGAAAATTGAGTGACACATTACTGGTAAGAAAATAAGTTTTGAAAAAGAAACTAAATGTATTTCTGAAATCAAATGTAAACCTTTAGGACTTACCTCACGGTTCAAGAAAAATTTCATATCTTTGAAGAGTTTCTTGCACTCCCTCGTCTCATTATCCTCTTTATCCTCACCCGGAACATCCCCAACAAGGTGCATCGATACACCAGGTTCATTTGAGGGGAGTTGATGCTGCAGTTGTGCAAGTCTTAGTTCAGACTCATCAATTGAAGGTCCAATCTGCTGGCTCTCAACTTTCCCAGATCCAGACAAACTTGGAGTTTGGTGATCCCACGCAGAGGATTGAGAGTTTGCATCAAAGTACCTTGATAGAGCATAAAGATCTACAATCGAATTAAATCATACTCATGCTCCATTAACACACACAAGATCCACAACTCAACATTGCCAAAAACTCTAAGTTAAAGCTAAGGAAAGCAACTAGTAAAAATGCATACCTGCTGCTACAGCTTCCAATCGAGGATCAAGAATGGGTGGATACCTCACATTTATGGAATGATATAAATGACAATTCACAAAGGCAAGAAGTGCCTGCACCGGGGAGGGAGCTAAGACTTCTTATAAGAAAAGGAAAGAAAAATCTTAATGGATGTTACAACGAATGTATGATCAAGAAGGTCAAGTAACCAGTTCATTGGAAGGAAAGCAAAGAAGAAGCTTAATGGATGCTAAAGTTACGAAATACCATTTACAGCTAGCACATATATTGATTTTAAATAGAAGAATAAAAGAATGAAACCTCGTAAAACTCCAAAAAGTTTAGCATGATATTGAAGTCAATATCATCAGTCAAAACTTGCTGCAAAGGGTGAGGAGCCAGCCATGTGACCTCTTGCCCTTTAACCTCGGCCTGCACAGACATACAACACAACGGTGCCGTATAAATCCTCTGTACCCAAATAACACAAGATGCCGCAGTTAAAGTTAAACATTTAAAGAAACCGTGATATAGGGTATGCTACCGCTACCGCACCTGATAATATATGCCTTTAACAGACACAAAGACTCTACGCAATCTATGAGTACGAGATATGTAAGCTTGCCATTCATGAGCCAACCTAGAGAAAAAAATATGAAAGCAACAAAAGGCTTAAGAAAATCAGACTCGGTAAAATCAGATCGTGCATGGAATGATGCAATTCAACATATATAATTGTTTTTTCATATACTCCAACGCCAGCCTCACCTCCGAGAGTTATGGATGCGTTTCACTTCGATACAGCCCTCAATAGCAGGTAAGGCAGCAAAGAGGTGAACCATTGTGATACAGTCATCCAAATCTCTAAGAGCATCAAGGAATTTCGGATACCTGCACAATTTCGTGGAACATAACAAATGGCAATCGGCAGAGATTCATGACATACAATGAGAGAGGGGGAGAGACAGAAGCAACATCAGCATACTTTAATATATATATATTGAATAAGAATAAGAAAAAGTTAACCTCTGCAAAATAATTTTGTCTAATTTGTAAGAAGGTCTTCTTTGTGTGAGAAGAGTAGCAAGATCCCGGTTCTTCTTGGCCTCGGCTTTCTTTATTTTGTGTTGATAAGCCCTGATCTCTCTCAAGCGCTCGAGTAATGGTTCATGTTGGATGAACGAAACATCCTTTAAGTGATAATAAGTATGGTGATTCCCTTTGGTCTTTTTCTTTGGCTCCCTTGGGAATATCCCCTTGAGAATACATAGTTTCCTAAAATTTGCATGATTAGCCATAAAAATCATCATGAAATACTACTGCGTAATATGCACAAGACAAATTATTATTTTCTTAATTTCCAAACAATAAAAACGTTTATAGATAATAATTATAACAGAAAGAAAATATATGCAGCTGAGCTAGTCTCAGTCATCACTGAAGAAAGAACAATAATAAACTTTAGGAATATAATATATATATATATATGCGGAAGTTACATATACACACAGGAGAATGAATGGATGATACTACAAGTTTAATCTGTGAGGTAGGTATGGGGAAGGAAGACTGAGAAAAACAGACAGACCTGAAGAGGGATAGACTGACTTGAAGTTGCTTGACGGCTTGTGACCTGGTGATGTACCTTGCAGCATTACCTTCCTTTTTCTTCCCCTGAAAAAATTATACAAAAGAAAATTAAGCAGCTGTGTCTAAGTTAAGAGAAAATGTTTATTTATATATTACAAATTGGAAATGTTGATTTGAATAGTGATTGGTGATGATATAGCCTATAGATGAACAACTTATTGAGGAGATTTAGAACTTACGGGAGGCCTGTAGTGCTTCGCCATGTCTGTGGAAGGAAACTCAGAGAGAGAGAGAGAGGGTTCTGTCTTCATGCGGCGGGGGTCTTCTTTGTACGTAGAGTTCGTCAATGGACAGGGGCCGGGCTTTACCGGTTTTATTTATTTTTTGGGTCGGGCCGTGTGGGCACAATTTGTCTTTTAAATCTTATTCTTACATATTTTTTGAGGCACACCTTGTAGGGGAGAGGCTACAGTGCGTGGTAAGTTATAACAGGTGTCTGTGCGGGGTGTCTAAGAGCTGTTCAATAAAATCCAACGGTGAGTTTTCAATATTGTCTTTTTGGTAAAACCGGGTTGAAATTACCCATACCAAAAGATGCAATCCGAAAGTGCAAAGCACACTCTCTCATCCTAGTTAACCCGCCACCCACTCTGCAATATGTTTTTCTTCTCTCTCTCTCTCTCTCTCTCTCTCTCTCTCTCTCTCTCGCCATCTCTGGTTTGTGGTTATCAAAGAACCAAAATCCATTCGGCAAATATCTTGCAACCAACACAAACACAACAGAGGGTTATGAGTCTTTTTTTATTATTGACACTTTATCACCTCAAAAATTCATTTTCTGATGCCCAACTTCTCTTAATTCCTCTCCTCTCTCACACTCTCCCAAATCTTGCCTTAGCTCCAACTCGCCAGCCATCTCGCTACTGTCCAATCCAGTTCTCCACCCATCCATCGTCATAACCTAGCTCTCCTCAAATTCGGAACCCTAGTTTGACCCTAGCCAAGCAGCCGCAACTCACGACCTCCATTGCCGACCTCCACCGCGAAGCCACTATCGCGACTCCAGAGCCAAGCCACAGTCGCGACCCAGCAGCTGTACTACATCTCATTTGAAGACTAAAGAGCCAGCTCACTCCATGCTAACGTTGAGAGGATATGGATGAATATAGCATATTCCATTTCTATATACTTATTCTAGAGACTTCTTGTAGGACAAATATACACACATTATAAATGTACACAATATGTAAAGAGAAAGATTGAGAAAAAATATAACAAAAAAATTCATATTCAAAATTCTAGCTGAGCAATCTTCTTCCTTTCTGAAAACTTTAGTCCTTCTTTTTTGTCTCCATAAATGAATATATCCCTTCTAGCGTAATTTATCACATCAAACACAATATGGCATCAATTTCTGCAACATTGTTTTCTTAATAGAAGAGCTGGGGATTGGGCTTATGAACTTTGGCAGGCTACCGCTAATTTGAATTGAAGGGGAGAAAACTCTCTACTGTAGTTTGAATGATAGCTGAAACAGCTTATTTATACTATATCTGGCTATGGAGAAGCGCTAGATGATTCACCAAAATTTTCAAGTGTGAGGATGATCAGACTCAACTACTCACATGAAGATCCTTCCTTATAGCAATTTCAAAGAAAAAGATGAAACAAAGAGCATGTTTTAACGCTTAAGTGGCAACTTACTGTTCAATTTTTTATTTCATATGTATCTGTGTTTTTTTGTAGGCTGGTACAGCTTTTGTTCTGTTTGGTATATAATTTCAAACATTGGGAAGGGAAAGAAACCATAAAGAACCTGGGAATGTTTTGTTGCAATGTAACGATTACACTGTTCGGTGCCTGGATAGATTCTCATGCCAAGCCGTGGCATGATCGTTGGGGAAAACGTGAACAATAGGCTAAGAGCTCTGTGAGTCACAAATTTATGATAAAAGAGAGAAGCACCAGTCTACACCTAATCTGAGGACTTAACACAATGAAGTTAACAACTGTAAGAAATTCCTGTCGGCTTCAAGATGATTAGCTGATTTGGCTTTTCATACAAGACCCCTAAGAATTAAATTAATCCTGACTTCACCCAAAGCTGTCAAATGAAACCCTCAAAAGAAAGATAAAAATACATAAATTATATACACTCTAAACCAATTTGGCAGTTGCTAAAATTCTCTGAATATTCACTTTATAAATTCCCAAGTCAAAAAGATTGCATACAAGTGTAACTAACATGAAAGGAATAACGTGGTTTGGCAGGGTAAGCGGAGAAGCCAGGGTGAGCTGGTGGAAGGGACTATGCGGCTACTCGATGACTTTCAGAGGCTGCACCAACCCCCTACCAAAGTTTCATTTGGGATTCATGCAAAGTGGCAAAAACCTCCTGTTGGGGTCATCAAGATCAACGTGAAAGGTACCTTTAGAGCCCATAATGGGTCTGGTGGTGGTGGCTTAGTGGCGAGGAATGAGGATGGAGTTTTTGTTGCTGCAAAAGCTTGTTTTTTCCCCTGGGTTTCATCACCGGCACATGCTGAGGCCCTTGCCTTTAGGGAGGCTTTACAATTTGCTAGTGATAGGAACTTTAATCACTTGCAGATGGAGTGTGATGCTCTGGAGTTTGTCCAATCGTTGAGTCGCACAACGGCGGATACTTCCTCAATTGGTGCTTTGGTGGAGGACTGCAAAGCGATCCTTGCGCTTTTGCCTAACACTTCCTTTACGCATATCTCTAGAATGGCCAACAAAGTGGCCTTTAGACTAGCACAACTATCTTTAACACTGACCTCAGCTTCCACGTGGTCATGGGAACCTCCTGTGATCATTACTGATGCTTTGGTGGAAGATTCTCTGTACTAAGTCATTTACCCAATCAATATAATCGTTTCGTTTCAAAAAAAACATTATAGGATGCTGAATAGTAACTGTATGAAGAGAACATGCATTAATATACATATGTCTAGAGCACAGTGTTGCAGATGCCAGCATGAAAAGCACCAATTTCCCAGACTTATAACTATATCAACCACATAATATACCCGACTTAGATGTAAGCAATCATGCTCAACTTATCAACTAACTTTTACTTTATATTTTAGCCCTACATCTTTTATATGAGACACCAAAGGGCTCCAGCAAAGGAGAGCGATAACTCTAAATCCGTTTTCTCCAATAGTATTGGTGGGCTCCAGCTTTTTATCGGACACGGATGCTGACAACATTATGCTTTGACCATTGTCATGTGACATGTGGCCAATACTCTTTGGCTATGGGTTTTTCAGTGGTTCACATTAGTATAAGTCACGGGTGAATTAGTGGCTTATATGGACGTTTTTTAGTAGTTCCTATATATTAATCTAATAAAATTCTATCGTTTTTTTTTTTAATAAAAAAATTCTAGATTTATTATATATATTTTTTCATATGGATTGTTGGTAACAAAAATTTAGGCAAATTTCATTTTAATAGTACTTTGTGTAGAGCAAGATATTGACGTGAGTCTCCTAATTAATCAAGGAGATTTATTTCCTTGATTAATTAAGGGATTTACTTTCCTTCCATCTAGTTTACAAATTTGTGTATAATTAGGATATACTTTCCTAATTCCTGATAGAATCTTATAGGGGTGGGCACGGTACGGGATGACACGGGATGGAGGTCATCCCGGTGTCAATCCCGAATAGGAGAATCAGGACGGTATGACACGGGATGGGGGATTTTCAAAACACATTCAAACCATACCGGCCCCAATCGGGACCGGTATGGTTCGGTATCAAAACTGATACCGTTCACCTTAGGCTAAAAAGAAACCAAGATCTTTTTCTCTGTGTTTCTCTCTTCTTATTTTTTTCTTCTCTTTTTTAATTTCTTCTTTTTCTTATCATCTGTTATCCGAGAAAGAAACCCATTTGAATGAATGGTAAGGTCAAAGATGTAGATGAAGCAGTAGCCGAATGCGGTGGTAGGATTGGGATCTCGTCTCTACTGCCGGCTCAGGAACCCCGGCTTTGCTCCTGGTGGCCTCCCCACCACGACGATGACGACCGCGACTCCACATGCACACCATCCACACCAGAACCAAGTAGATTACGACCACCAAGATCTAAGATTTCCACGCTTTGATTTTGACGCTGGGCTGATCGCTTAGGCTCATCGAAGAGAGAAACATAGAGAAACAAATAAGGCTAAAGAAAAAAATAAGAAGAGAGAAACAGAGAGAAAAGAGAGAAGGAAAGAAGGGGGAAGAAAAAGAAGATAGAAGAAATAAAAAAAATTGGCGGAGAGAATAAAAAAAGTAGCGTGGTCTCGCTGGCCTCACCACATCCAAGCTTCAAATGTTGGAAATAATATTTTAATATTTATTATTTAATATTAATTAGTTACTGTACGGTACGGTATGACACCAAACGGGATCACAAATCTGATACCTCATATTTTAGCATGGTATCAGAGCAATCGATCCTAGGTTGTCTCTAAATCCTCGTATCGAATTTCTTGAAACCCGAATCCCTCGTATCGAATTCCTTGAAACCCGAACCCGTATCCTCGTATCCTGAATCCCGTATCCTGAATCCCGTATCCTCGTATCTTGAATCCCGCAACCCTAAACACATATTTGAAACCCTAAACACGAATCCGAAACCCTAAACACGAATCCGAAACCCTAACCACATATCCGAAATCCTAAACAGTTTTTTTTTCCTCGTATTCTTCAATCCTTTCGCTGCCATGGATATTGTTTCCAAAACCACCGACTCCACTTCCTCAATTCCCCAAATTGTTACTATTCAAAGTGACAACGCTCCGTTTCCTACCGGCATCACCTTGACAGAGACCAATTATGCCTTATGGTCTCAGGTCATGGAATTAC